AATTACAGAAAATGGCCATTGTGTGCTTGTACCTACCTGACTACAAAGAAAATATAATAGAGAAAATGATTGTTGTTTGATATTTACAAAGATAAATATCATAATATGACATCATAATATGATATTTGTTCCAATGAAGTATACATTTTTACAGATGTACTTTATCATGTATATTTATATAACATGTACAACATGGTGTTTGAAATATATATACCATGTTTTGAAATATACATATTCATGTAGTGAAATGATTGCTACAGGTGAGCAAATTAACTTATCTCTTACTCTCCATAATTACCACCTTTTGTTGGGGGAGATGGGATAAGACAACCTAAGATCTACTTTCCTCACAAATTTTCAATAGTAGTACAATATTAGTAACTATAATCTTCATGTTGTTCATTAGATGTCTAACATTCATCCTTTATAACTGCAAGTTTGCACCCTTTGACCTACACCCCCCATTTCCTCGCCATGCCTGACTTGATAATCACCCTTCTACAGTTTCTATATATTCACTTTTTTATTTTTAAATGCTACATATAAAAGAGACCATGCTCTGTTGGTCTTTCTGTGCCTGGCTTTTTCTTTTAAGACTGAATAATATTTCATTGTGTGTCTATATATAAATAGCACCATTCCAAGAAATACACAGTTTTGCCCCTTCGAGCTGCACTAAAATTTTTGCCATTTCAATCAAAGTAAAGAAATGGAAATATCCCTAACGTTTTATGGTGGTAGATGTTCTTCCCTGGCAAGTTTCATATAAATTATTTTTGTCAACCTCTGTCAGGGGTTAAACTTTAAACTTATTTCAAAAGGCTTATATACTTTCCCACATGTTTAAAAGCTATGATTAAGTCACTTTGAATTATGCAAATGAAGACTTTGTAAGGACATTTAGGTCTATTCCATACCTTGGCTTTGTGAATAGTGCTACACAGATGTCTCTTTGACTCAGTAATTTAATTTCCTTTGAGCATATACCCAGTAGTGAGATTGCTGGATCATACGGTAGTTCTATTTGTACTCATTGAAAAATCAGATCATTTATGCCAAAACCGAGTCTTGCTCTAATTCAGTATGTCTCTACAAGTTGGTCACACTATTTTATGTTGTGCTGTTTTGGGGAGACAATTTGTTTTCTTGTTTTTCAAACCTCTGAATATATAGTTGCATTGAGGTTCTGGCAGCCTAAAGTAGAGTATTTTAATCCCTTTTGAGATATTATAACAAAACTATCATAATCTAGATGGTTTATAAACCACAGGAATTTACACAGTTATAGAAAGTCCAACATCAAGACATCAAGAGACTTGTTGAATGAAGGCCCTTGTTCCAGTGTTTCAGTAGTCTTATAACTTTCCCAAACTGATTTATTGAATGTTGTGCAGTATGTCATATTCTCTCAAATGTGAATGGAAGCCGACTTTACTTCTTTCTCTTTCAAAAGTAGTAACTTTGAAGTCTTATCTGAGCATACAAGTCTTTGGCTTTGGCTAAGGGAATTGTGGCATTAGATAGGAGGCAACTACATTGTTAGTCTTGGAAGCTACAGTGTAGGTTAGGTTCATAGACTTTCTGCTCTCCCAGCTGATCAGAAGCTGGAGTTAAAGGAACCTCAGTAGTGGAGCTCTCTTCTACTTGCATTTAGCAGGTTGGAAAGCTGAGGCTTTACAGTTTTTATAGCAAGAACTGTGATGATCAAATGTGCCTGACTAAAAGCATGAAAACACCAGTTACAGTTGTTCTATTAAGATTTGGGTGAGGTATTAAAAAAAAAAAAGTTCTCCAATATTATGTGTAGGAAGATATTTCTAGGAAAAATTTATGGAGACTTATTTTTTTTTTAATTTTTTTAGTTGTAAATGGACACAATATCTTAATTTTTATTTATTTATTTTTATGTGGTACTGAGGATCGAACCCAGTGCCTCCCACGTGCCAGGCCAGTGCTCTACCACTGAGCCACAACCTAGCCCCTGAAGACTTATTTTTGAAAGCTGCTTCTAGAAAATAATCTGGACCCAGATGTGTCTGCATGCATGGTTAGTTGTAAACCTCCTATTCAAATGGAAAAGAGCCCCTTTGAAAGTAGAGCAGATCTTAGGCAGAATCCCACCACCTCAGGAAACTCTTGAGATCCCAGTAGTTAGAATGACAAACCCTGAGCCAGTTCACCTTTGCCTAGTATTGGTTTACCTTAGGGTAGAGAGTGGCCTTCTGAGAAGGCTGTTTTTGGCATTCCACGAAGAGCTCTCTGCCCAAACGTTAAGAAGTAGTTTGGCAATGTACATGATATTCAGTAGTCATTGACTCATGCCCTTGCATTTCAAACTGAACTGAACAATCAATGATTAGCCTAAGGCCTTGCACACAGTAGGTTCTGACAAATATTTGATGAACAAATACTTTTCTTTGGTACAGTAGAAAACTCTAAATGAGCTGATGAAAAGCAATAACAAATCAGTGGCACAGAGTTAATTTTGGCTTCCTGTTCTCTCTAGACAATGTATTGGATTTCACCCCATGGGATGGCTGCCAAAGATACACTTTTTCCAGCTCTGTTTGTGCTCCTAGCCTGGGCAGGAGCTGGGATGGCTGTGGCAGCAGAAACATGAGACAGACATGGGGCCAACCTGACTGGGTCAATATCTTCCCACTCAGCACTTCAGAAACGTTTCCTGTATTAGCCTCTTTGGACAGTAACAAAGACAGGAAGGATATTTTTTTTTAAAAGGCAACTTATAAATATGAAACAGATACCCAAGTATGCTCTGGATTAGATCTAGTTTTATAACTAGAATTTTCATACCTGTATTTTCTTTTTCTTAATTTCTTGCTCTGGCCTTGTACGGCTGTGGGAAGGTGACTATGAGACATTATAGATTTCGGATGTTGCCAAGTCAGTCTACCATTGACTCAGTGGGTTTTAGAGAACAGTTAGTAATTTCCTGGGTTCACTGTCTTCTTTTTAAGGACCTGACAGATGTCTTCAGAGCTATCAGATAAGGAAGGTTGTATCTTTATAAAGAGAAGGACATTTTGTTCCCTCCTATGAAGTGCAAGTTTTCTGGTGCTTTCCTGAGAAACTTTCTCTCGTTTATCATGTAAATAGCATAAAAATAACACAGAAACAACAAAAAAAGAAGTTGCTCAAAATATCACCACTCAAATATATGAAATATCTTAATTTTCAGTGATTTCTTGTAGGAACTATTCAAACAAATATTATATAGTATTAATCAAGATACAATTATATCTTCCATCTTATGTCAAAATTTATATTATAAGTATTTCTCATAATTTTCATAAATCACATTAGTGACTATTTTTTGTCGTGGTGGCAGATAAACTGCATCTTGGACTTTCTTTGTTGTTTGATACTTATTTGGATAGTTCCCAAGTTTCCCTACTATTAAATCCATCAAAATGCATGATTTCACACATATATATATATATATTCCTTCTCTTAAAAACAGTATAGTGCAGAGATGATCACTCATCTAAAGAAATTTACATTTTAGTGAAGACGGACATGAAATGAAACAGGTGGGTGGCAGTTGCTATAGCAGCTGCTTGCAGTGACACAATGACAATTGTGAATTCCTGAAGGGGCAGAATGTTTATGTGTGATGCTGTTTTGAAGTGTTGAAAGACACGCAGATTTAAGCAGGTATGTGGGAGCAGAAAGAGACTTATAGACATAGGAAAGAACTGGTTCAAGGGCATAGAGGCTGGTAAATTCTGAAGAACTGCAGGTCAGTGTGAAGGAGGGTCAGCTCCAGGGCTAAGATGGGAATCAAATGACGAAGGGCCTAGTGTGCTCAGTGTAGGAACAAGATTATCATCATGTAGGCAGTGGTAGTGCTACTGAAGGATTTTAAGCAGATGAGAGATTCAGTATGATTTCTACTTTAGAAAGACTTTTCTGCCAACCTTAATGAGGACAGATTTGAGAGTGACCAATTGTTGGGAGTAGAGAGACCTGCCATTATGGTAATTCATATGGGAGGTGAAAAGATCTTTGGGCACATTGGGTTTTACGTACTTGTGGGCACAAAAGGTTTAAAATTTGTTTAGATGCTTGACACTTGGGAATATTTAAGTGGATGGCATCATTAAGGGAAATTTTCAGAATGAGACAGAGCCAAGGGCAAAGGACTGGGAAGTGTGAGAACTATCAAGGAGGAGGGAGGAGGGGAAAGAAAGCAAAGGCAGAGGGCCTTTGCAGGATGGTAGCATTGCAGTAGTCAAAACTGTTTACTGGATTCATGAATTTAGATAAGAAAATAATCTCCTTGACTTTTGTCCATCAAATTCTTTCTGGAATAAAATCATTATTATCAATCTGTGTGAGTTTTCTATGTCAATCTTTTGTAAAAAAAATTATATCTGACATAAATTTTTACTATTCTATTTTTGTATTTTTAAATTTTTCAATTTAATATATTGTTTTCATCAGCTTTTTTATTACTACAAACAAACAGACAAACAAAGAAGCTGACAAGAGCAATTTTAAAGAAGGAAGTTTATTTAATGTTCATGGGTTTTAGAGATCTCTTTCCATAGGTAACTGGCTTCATTCCTCAGGTGTGTGATGTGGCTACTCTGAATGATTCTCATCCTCCTTCCCTGAGCTGAGAGGCCTTGACTCAAACTACTTCTCAAAATGACCGGGACACTGCCCTGGTCCCAGAGGTTGAGGATGCATCTTCAGACGTGGGCATTTCGCTTCATGGATAGAGCTATGCTTACCTGTTCCTTTGTGATACCACCCCCTTGCCCTGTTTGGGATAGAATGTTCCATGGAAATGCCCTTTGTGTGTCCCCTCCACTTACTCTGCCTTTGGGTGTGGCCTTCCTAGATGTCAGTCAACCTGCTGACAGCAGACATCAGGAAGCTAGATTCAACCCCCCTGAAACCTGACCCCTTGCCTCATTTGAATGGCTTCTCCTCAAAAAAGGACTCAGCCTCGCTTGCTCTCTCTCTCTTTCTGCAGACACTTAAGATCAGAGGAGCCATCACAGGACCCCAAAGAAAAAGGTATCTCTGTTTCTTGTGTGATTATTTCATGAAGCCCAGCTCACCTGGGTGACCCTGAGTGATTTAGTCCTGAGGATCTCAACACTTAGGGTTTGAGGTGAGGCAGAAGGGTGTGGTGGAGGAAAGAAGCTCAGGAAATGACCACCAGAAACAGACAAAGAGCCTAACAAAATATATACCCTAAAGCACACCTCCAGGACCCACCTTCTCCAGCCACATCCTTATCTGCCTACAGTCACTACTCAGTTAATCCCTATGAGGGGATTAATGCACCAATTAGGTCAAGGCTCTCATAACCCAATCAGTTCACTTCTAAACTTTCTTACAATTGTCTTACACATGAGCTTGTGTGGAGCAGGGAAACTCACATCTAAACTATAACACATATCATGAGTGCAACAACTTCAAAACAATTGAATTGTATTTCCTTCATTAAAAAACAAAAACTGGGGGAAGACATCAAGAGGATTCTAGAAGTAGAATCATTTCAGGCTAAGGGAGGAACTATAGCTAAGGTACTCAACAGTGTATCCAAGAAACAGCAGAAAGACAGCATGACTGGAGCATGGTAAGTTGGTTTATATTAGTTGAAGGTCAAAAATCATTCAAGAATTGAAGGTCATTGTTAAAAACTGTGTTTTTACTCTGAAACTGGGAGGCACTGCATTGGTATTTGCCAAAGGAGGGACATGATTGACATATTTTAACAGAATGGATTTTGAATACTGAGGTAAGTATAGGCTATAGATGGGATGTTGGCAGGGGGAACCATGGAAAAGAGGAAACCTGATTATAGTAATCAAGAGATGATGGTGTCTCTGATGCTGGCAATATCAGAGAAGGTAATACAAAGGGGTAAGAGTACAGATATACTTTGGGGATGAGACAAATGGAACAATAAATGATGACTCCAAAATTTGTCTTTTAAGCAATTTGTAAAATAGATTTGTGTTACTACCGATAGAGTAGGAGAGATCAGTTCAATTTTGGACATGCATAATTTGAGATAACCTGATATCTCCAGTTAGAAATTTTAAGTGGGTAGACAGATGTATGATGTGAGTAGTAAGTTGGGCATCGTCATATAAATCTGCACTCTCCAATACAGAAGTCACTGGCCACATGCACGAGCTCTGTATTCAGTGGTCCCCTTTTGCTTTGCTGTTCCTCCATTAATCAATACAGAGAGGGAAGATTTCTGTGATATAGATAATATCTCTGATAGATGGTGCTAATCTGGGAGGTATTTCAAATGATTTAGTTTGTATGATGTCATTAATGGAGTCATAAGAGGAAATACTGAATTTGGGTTAATCCAGTATTATGTGATTAGACAGAAAGTGTGAGCATTCTCTTAGTATCTAGCTAGATGGATGTGATGATGGAGGCTCCTCTTTGACCAAGACTGCTGGTATGCCCTCACCAAAGATGCCTATTCTAGTGGATTCAGCAGTAATTTGAAGTCTCAAGGATTAATACATACATGCAGGATGTGATGAATTAATGACAGCGTTGGCCACAGCTTATAACCAAAGGTTCAATTCCATTCAGTTTGCTGTGCTTACTGAGAGAGTGTTTGCTTTTGAATGACCCGTCCTCCCTAAGTTTACCACATAAGAAACAGAGATGTTCATACTGTCAATTCAATAAGTCCTAAGACTACTATTGTCCTAAATCTATCATCGACTCACTCAGTGCTAAAACTGCTACTTAAATGTTTAATGGATTACCTGATTTGATATTTCTTATTACAAAAGCAGTAACATCATTTATGTCTTGGTTTGAATGTCTTTGATGGTACATCTTGAGCTGAGGATTTAAGTGCAGGTAGCTTATTTCGGAGATTTTAGGAATCAGAAGTGAGTGGAGAGGATGAGGCAAGGAAAGGAAGAAAACTAAAAAAGTTTTATTTGTCGTATGGGTAACCGGGGTTTAATCCTCCTGGGGTTCTTCTGAATCTAATGATTCCCATCACCCTTGAATGTAAACTGTCTTTGGGGAAATTTAATTCCCACATTTCTGATCTATGCTTGTACACAGTTTAAGCTGTGTTCTCAATTTCTCTCTGGGCCAAAATATTCAGAGTTTTTATTTGAGGCTGGACACAAGCACTGTATGTGGAACTGTCTACTTAAGTCATGCTGAAATCAAGTGGGCTAGAGGTGTGGAACAGCATTTGTAAGTGTAACACAGTTGAAGATTAGCATAACTTGACTGTAGATAGTTATTAATGAGAATGGGATTAATTTTTCCCCCTCAACATGGTTTTGCTTTGTATAAATATATTAGATGATGATATCATTTATTCCTTTCCAAAGGCAAATAATTACAAATTGAACTTAAAAAGAAACCCTCTCTACTTGTTCAAATTAGGCTTAAAAAATAGTACTAAATAGCAAAGGACACACTTTATCCCTAATACTAACCTCACATGTTTTGTTTACTGTTACTTTGGAATTAGAGAAACCAGGTTATAGTCTTAGTTCTGCTTCTTATTGCTGCCTGTAGGGGAGCAGATTAACAATTCTACCTATCAGTTTTATAATATGCACAATGGAAATAAACATATTTACTGGTATTTTAATATTATAGCAATTATATGACAGAAAATTACATTGTAACAATTATACATCAGGCATGGATTAGTTACTTAATAACCATTAGTTTTCCTTTCTTTAAAGCAGAAATGTCCACTTAGATAGCTATTTTCCTTCCTTAACTAAGTTATCTTGTTTAAATGGAAGAATAGTATATGTTTATTATTATCAACAATAACAAAAATAGAATAAAGTGATGTAACATTCCGTTATGTTAAATAAATATTGAACTGTCATGTAGAATTTTATCACTTAATCAATGGAAAAATGAAAAATCATAGAAAAAAAAAGAAAAACATTAGCTTATATTCAGAGTTCACACTAAAAAATCCATATGCTACAGCCTAATTTTCCTTTTTATAAGATTTGAAAAGAACCAATCTACTATTTTTACTTCTGTGTACTGCAATGGACATATTGTTGATTATAAGCATTGAATTTTCTATTAAATATCCTCTTATCTCCCTTTCTTTATAGCATATTCATTCCCCATTGTTTTCTGTTTACAGCCTTATTATCTAAAGATGAAGGGAGAAAAGAAATGCCAACAAGTCTACACATCGAAAGGTCAGGCTATTCACATGCACACTGTCTCGCTTTTCAGAATGCATTAGGTATTACAAGTCTTGTATATCTTTCAGGTTTCAAATATGAAATTGATGTTATGCCACTTTCTCTTCCAGATGCGATTTTTGAGATGATGAAAGTGCAAGGGACATGAAAATATGGCCTGAATGATTCAGAACAGAGAGCATTTTCAGCTCACGGGTAGTAAGAGTGAGCCAAAGATGCTGATTTCACTGACTGTTTTTTGTAACAGTCCAAGAAACAAAAGCATCAACATGAATTCTGGGTTGATTTTGTTCCCTCATTGAAGTCTTGCTCTGTGAAATGATGAATCCCTTGGCACAGGTATGTAAATACTATGCTGCTAGTTAAAACAAATGAGAAGTTTCTTACAAAAAACTTCCCTTTCAAAGGATGGAATGAGAACAAGGATTAGAATGGACATGGTTGGAGAAGAAGAGAGGAGCTGGAGTTCCCCAGTCAGAGATTTGCCATAACAGATACTTGCTGCCATTGGCTGCCCAGCATGTTTCTATTCTGGCACCTTCATTTTTCACTGGTCAAATTGTCCAGCACAATATTCTGCCTTTTGGCTTATCAGGGTAGTCTCTAATGGTTGGATAATTATAGAATCAGAGGCAATAAAAATAAATTTAACAATACAAAACTTTTTAAGCTGGGCAAGTGTCACTTGCCTAAAAATCCCATTGACTATGGAAGCCTGAGGCAGGAAGATGGCAAGTTCAAGGCCAGCCTCAGCAACTTAGCAGGACACTGTTTCAAAATAAAATAAAACATAAAATAAAAGGATATGGGTATAGGTCAATGATAGAGCATCCCTGGGCTTCAATCCTCAGTACCACCAATTTTTTTTTTAATTAAACTGCATTTAAAAAGTCATGAGCAAAGACAATTAACAAATTTCAAGAAATTATTTTATGGTTTATCATATATAAAGGTTAAAAATTACTGAATTTGAATGAATTATTGAAATTAGAAGAGAAATAATAATAACTATAAGAAACAAACAAATATTTTGCAATAAAAGTAGCAATTACAAATAAAGAGGCATCTAACTCCAGATATATATTAGAAAAATAAGAATAAAAATTTACTGAGAATCCAGCTCTCATCTTTCCCAATTTATAAAAATTAAAAGGTCTGACTACATTCTATTGGAAAGGCCAGGCAGAAACCATCGCTTTCGTATATTGTTGATGGGAATGAAATGAATGCAAATTTATCGGATAGGAATGTGGCACTATCTTACAAAACTATATATTTATTTATATAGTTTGACCTAATAATACTACTAGTAGGACTTAACTCTGATAATACACCTCCAATAATGCAAAAATATATGTGCAAGAGGTTATTCATAATAACAATGTTAGAATCACAGACTGTTAGAAGCAATCTAAATGTGTTAAATGACATATTGTGTTAAATGACATATTGAAGCATGTTGTACCTATAAGAATAATGAGAAAAATCTCTATAAACTGATATGTAGTAAATGCTATGATATGTCATTACTGTTTTTAAAAGCAAATGGAAATTTGTATCTATACAAATCAGTATGCTATCTTGCATGTAAGAGAGAAAGGAAAATACAATGTGTGTGTGTGTGTGTGTGTGTGTGTGTGTGTGTGTGTTGCTAGGGATTGAACCCAGGGCCTTGTGCATCAAGACAAGCACTCTGCCAACTGAGCTATATCCCCAGCCCGGGAAAGGATAATACATTTTTTTTTCTCATTTAAGGAAGAAGAAACACAGAAGACATAAAATAAAAACTGATAGAGGTCCTATATCATAAGATATAGGTAGGAATGGAAAGAAAATGACAGTTGGAATAAGGTTGGAGGGCTAGGGTGGCACTTCTATGGGTATATCCTTGGTTTAGTTTTGATTTTAACAACTTATCAATGTTTCATATAATACTCAAAAATAAATTGTTAAAATTTGCATGGATGCAAGAAATTCAACAAACAGAATTACAAGTCAATAGTATTACCACAGTAAGGGAGAGGAGAAGAAAGAAAAGTATAACCTAAAAACTTTGAAAAACCAATATTTTGACCATATATGCTAAAGATTAAAACAAAAATAACTGTATGCAAGTTTTCAATTATGGTTAGTAGGTTTGTTTTTGACCAGTATATAGGTTAGAAATTATGAAATTGTTTTGTATGTATTGTATAATTAAGCAAATTAAGTAAATACATTAAAATGTCTGACTACGTTCTATTAGAAAGGCCAGGCAGAAACATGTGGGTAATGAGAGCCACATTCCTCACCATCCAAGAATAGATGAGGAATAGTTATAGTTATAATTAGGGAAAGAGGAAGGCTACAATAAATCTTGTTACTTTCAGTCTGGGTCAGTCAAAGACTAATAGAACTACATTGATAATTGATAATGGGGTTTATAACTCTTTACAATGGTGGAGAGCACACACTCTTTAGAGAATCATGGGTTTTGCCTTAGCTTTCCATGACTAACAAGATATCTGAGGAAAAAAAATTTAAGGTGGAAACATTTATTTTGGCACACAGTTTCATAGGTTTCGGTTCATAGTCACTTGGACCCATCACTTTGAGTCTGTGACATGGCAGATCATCTTGGCAGAAGGGCATGAAAAGGAAAGCTGCTCACTTTATGGTGGAAAGAAAGCAAAAAGAGAGCTAGAAAAAGGGGCCAAGTGAAAGATGTACCCTTCAAAGGCACATCTCCAAGGAACTACTTCCTCCAACTAGGCTCTACCTAGTTTCCATCACCTTCTAATAGCGCACTAAATTGTGAATCTATCTATGGATTAATCCACTGATGACGTCAGAGCCCTCTTGATTGAACCACTTTACAAATGCCCCACCTCTGAATACTGCTCTATTGGGGACTCAGCCTTTAATGTCTGATACTTTGGGGGATATTTCAGATCTGAACCACAAGGTCTATCAGTAAGAGAATGGTAGAACCTATTATAGGATTTGGACTTTTTGAAAGATGTAAATTTATGAACATTTAAAGTAGGAGATCACTCTAGATAGAATGCAGCAATTCTGTCATTGGGTATCTCAACCATTGTATTTATAGAGAAAACAAACTAGAATGGGAATAAATCTGCAATAGGAAATGTAACAGTCACTTATTTTAGACAAGAGAGAAGGATATTGTGTATTTAGGGGATGACACAATGACCTGTTATTTTGTCTGTGTTTAGAAAAAAAATACAGTGATCTTTGTTTCAATTTTTTTAACCATGGTCTCAGAGTAAACTTTTCTGATGTTAGTCTCCCGAGAGATTATTTATGGTCAACAGAATGAGTCACCTTCAGGAAAATGTGGGCTGCTTTGTTTTGTCTTTCTTGTGGCATTGGATTGGAATCAGGGGAATCAATATAAACTCATAGTTTATGTACATTGATATGTATGTCTATGCTGTATCGACTGAGAGGGTCTAGAAGCAATGATGTTCCAATATGAATGCACATATTTCTCAAACTCATGTTGTTCTTTTTTTTTTTTAAATACTCCAATGAAAGAAACAAGAGCTCCCTGAAAAATTGTCAGTTTTGTAGGTGGAGCACAGACATTGGATAATGAAAGGAAAACATATTGTCATGCTATAAAATAAGGAAGTATTCAGAAAACAATTAGTAAAACAACAAAAAGACACAAGATGTGATGTAAAAGAACTCTCAATGGCTAAATTATAAACCAGGTACTAAAATAAACATTTATGCTAATGTGTCAACAAAGGATAAAACAAAAGAACCATGAAAATTATAATCTTAAAGAAGACAGAAAATGATGAAAAGTAAAACAATGAAAACACAAAATAAAAAGAAAACAAATTCCAAGATGTAAATTTAGACATAACCCTATTGTTAATCAAATAAAATACATCAGACATGATGGTGCACACCTGTAATCCCAGTGTCTGGGAGGCTGAGTCAGGAGGATTGCACATTCAAAGTCAGCCTCAGCAATTTAGCAAGGCATTTAGCAACTCAGCAAGACCCTGTCTCTAAATAAAATATGAAAATGGACTGGGGATCTGACTGAGTGGAAAAGTGCTCCTGGGTTGAATCCCTAGTACAAACAAACAAACAAACAAACAAACAAATAAATAAATAAATAAATGCAAGTTTGAGAAATCCCAATTAAAAGCCAGGGATGTGATGTGGCACAAAACAATCAAGATCCAGTTCTAAAACTTGGGATTTTTTATACTACTAATAAAAATGATACCCTCATAGCCAGCCCACTGGGATAAATAGAGAAAAGACAATCTATCAATGTCAGGAATGAGTGAAATGATGTCATTATAGAATCTACTAATCTTGAGTTATAATAATGGATATTAGAAGCAATTTTATGTTAACAAACTTGATAATATACATGAAATAAAAACATTTTCTGACAGATACATATTATTGATACTTCCTAAAGAATAAGAAAAATTATATGAGTTGCTATTTATTTATTTTAAACAAGACAATATTTTTTTTCATAGTTCTGGAGTCTAGAAGCCAAAGACCATTGTATTGGCCGATCTGGTTTCCCCTGAGACCTCTCTCCTTCACTTGTGAATAGCCATCTTGTTATATCCTCCTGTGGCTACCTTTGATTTGTGTCTACTTATTTATTATAGAAACGTCTCATTATAGAAATGAATTTGTAATAACCACCTTGTTTGTTTTAGTGAGTGAAATTTATTGTGACACTCTTGAGTTTGAATTATGGGATGAAACAAACAAATTAGATTTAGATGGCATTTCTTTTCTGACACCATTCATTGTATATTATATGATAAGGCAAATAAGCAATGATATTAATTTTGAATACAGATATAGGTTTGAGATTGATAAAGTTAAGTGTAACTCTTCAGTCTTGTGTTTGAATTGAGATCCTTTTAGTGTGAATATCTGTTTTCTTTAAAAAAAAAAAAAGAAAGAAGAAAAACAAAGAAAGAAGAAAAACAAAGTAGCTTTTTCCACTGATAATGCAAGAAAGGAAGATGAATGAGAATGCAAAGAGAGCCTGTAATGGCCAGATCTTGCTGTTAGGTAGTGAATGAAGAAGGAATGACAGCCACAGTTTGCACACAGATCTTGCTGTTAGGTAGTGAATGAAGAAGGAATGACAGCCACAGTTTGCAGCCCTAATGAAGTAATGGATCTAGGCAGTGACCATTGGATAGTAACATCACTGAAAAAGTTGCAACCAGACATCTTGGGCCTCTACCTATTAGGTTCTAGTCAGGAAGTACTACTATAACAAAATACCATGGACTGGGTGATTTAAACAACAGAAATTTACTTTCTCTGGGTTCTGGCTCATTTGATTTCTAGAAAGGGCTCTTTTCCTGGTTTCCAGAAAGCTGCCTTCCTGCTGAGCTCTCAATTGGCCTGTCCTCTGTGGTGCATGAACGAGTCGGGGTAGAAGAGGGAGAGCAAGTTCTCTGATGTCGCTTCTTACAAAAACACTAATTCTATTGAACTGGCACCCCATCCTTAAGGCCTGTTTCACCTTAATTAGTTGCTTAGAGTTCCCTTCTCCAAATATGGGCACACTTGCAGTTTTGACTTCAATTTATGAACTGTCAAGGACAGAACCATTCCTTCCATAACTGTTAACCATATCAGAAAAATCTGAATTTAAACTGACCAAGTATCTAAGTCAGCTGCCGATTAATGGATAGTCCAAAAGACAGAGAAATATGTTCAATGATATTAAAGAATTTTTGCTAAAATTGTGTAAAACTCTACAAGAGTAATAAACCTTCAAATAAAAAAATAAAACATTGTAAAGGAGGGGGAAAGATGAGTTAACCTAGAGATCAACCAATTTAAGTATGCACTGTACTTAGATACCACTTCTTTATATGTACACACACACACATCTCTCTCTCTCTCTCTCTCTCTATATATATATATATATATATATATATATATATATATAGAGAGAGAGAGAGATGTGTGTGTATATATATATATACACACACATACATATACATACATACACACACACACACACACACAATCTTTATATGGCAATTTGTCTCAAAGAATTTTCAAGAATACCATAATCCCCACAGGTTCCAGATTAGAGGCAATATTTCGTTCTATTCTATTCTCTCTGCTATTTCAATTAATGACAAATTCATCTTCTTATAAAATATTAGAATTATATTTTACGTCAGCATTTCTTAATATCCTTTGTCTAAGAAATCACTAAATATTATGATTTCTTATCATTTCATCCTTATCATTTGTCTCTGATTCATGATCTATCTTTTCCTCCTGTATTAATCATTATCCTGCTGCTGTTCTTTCAAATAATTGCTATGGTCTGGTCTTCCTGCAGTATCGCTTTAGTTCAGGTCATGAATTACTTAAATAAAGATCTTACCATTATTCATGTATATGCAAGGTCCTGATGGTCCCCTGCTACTCAGTAGAACACCCATTGCTATGGCACAGAAAGATCTGCTTGGCGTGACACCAACCATCTTTTCATCCTTATCTCTCAGCATTGTGACCAGTATGTTAACACCACAGTAGTAAGTAGTACTATTTCCAAACTTCTTCCATTCTTGTCTTTGCATATGCTACTGCCCATGCTATAATACTTGTTTTTCTACCTTGAAAATACTTACTTCTCTTTCACAATACATCTCAAAAAATCTCACTGATATTTTTTCTCTATACCCCTGAGTTTCAATGCAGGGAGATTTAGTCACTCTCTTTTTTTCCCCTAAGAATTTACACATTTTTGTTATTATTAAAGTTGTCAAATTGCATCATGATTATTTTGTCACTTTTCTCCAGTATACAACTCACGTAATTACTGGTGCTCAATAAATGTTAAGTTGAATGAAGGCATGAGAGGATAAGGATGCTGTTTTTGGTGGAGAGAAAAATATCTTCCACTATCTCTCAAATGTGCATCACTTGTAAAAGACTACTAGATAAGTACAGATTACTATTATCAAGTAGTGTAGGTGGCTTTTTATGTTGTCAATAAATTTACTTTTTGATACATCATATATAATGAAATGTAAGTTCTCATTCTTCTGGTTGAACATGATATAGAATCACGCTGGTCATATAATTATATATGTACATAGGGTAATAATGTCTGGTTCATTCTACTAACCTTCCTACCCCCATATGCCCCTCCTCTCTGTTCACTCCCCCTACCTTATCTAAAGTAACTATTCTTCCCTAGCCTCCCCATTGTATATTAGCATCTAATTTAAATTTAAATTTACTTTTAAATCCAAGTTTATTCTTGGTATGTGTTTTTCCAGAGACACGTTGGGCTTAAAACAAATTTCTAAAAGATAAAAGAAACCATAGTATTCAGACTTTCAAGTCCCCTTTGTGCCTGCCAACTCTATGCTACTTTGACCCATGCACCCATGCTGGCTGATTCCAATCAGAATCTGTTCTTTTTTTCTTTTCTTTTTTTTTTTTAGTTGTATGTGGACACAAAATCTTTATTTTATTTATTTATTTTTATGTGGTGCTCAGGATCAAACCCAGTGCCTCACACATGCGAGGCAAGCGCTCTACCCCTGAGCTACAACCCCAGCCCAGAATCTGTTCTTAATAGGTTTTATGATTAGGGCGAATTATTCTCATTCTTATCTCCCTGAGTTCTGGGATATTGTCTATGTTAGGGTCACAAAAATCTCACCACTTCAGGGTAACTTGTCTTCTTCTTTTGACATTTCAGGGTCTGCATTTGCTCCTGCAAGTAACAAGTAGTTTGCTGAGGAATGTAACATATCCTGTGGACTTACACTGCAAGTAAGTTGCTTTTCTAAAAGAGAAAGCATGTGGGGAATCAGCACAGTGGGTCTGGTTAATAGAATTATTTCCTTAACCTCATGTTCCCACAACTCACGTCTGTTCATCCCTGATCAGTAACCATGGGGATAGCTGTGGAAATTGTTTATAATCTTAAGACAGATAAGTACAAGAAACTATCTTCTGGATTCAATTATTTTAATAAACTATTTGGTTCCATCATCTACAAATTGTCATAATACTTACGGTTTTTAATAATTCATACTGTGTGAAGTTTCACTCCAAACATCAGCTATGTTTTTAAGTATTTTAGTGTTAAACTAGCTAGAAAAAATCAGCAACAAATTTTCAGACTCTCAATGTGGAGTATTTTTTCCTTATATAGAATCTGTATTCCTGGAATGCAAGTAGATGACACCGTTTTCTCAGTCTGAAATTATAAATCAGTATACCTCCAGACATTTCTCAGTGGAAAAACTGAAAGGTAATCACATTTACACAACTTTTAGTGCTATAATCTTGACAGATTTGAGTGGACTGTATTGTTTTCTAAGAAATCATTATACTCTTGTCTTTAAAAGACAGAGCTCTTTAGTCTAAACTGGTTTTTAAGGATTTGCATTGAAATAGCAACTGCATCTGTAAAATATGCTTGGAGGAAAGCCAGATTAATTTCATGTTTTACACATTCTCCAGGTACTTAAAGCAGAACTTGTGATTGGGAAGAGTTGTCTGAGGTTGGAGGGTCATAATGGATGCTGGTGAAGAAATGGTAAAACCACATGGTTAAAACTGATGTTTACAGTACTAACTCTACCAGTTCCAAGTCAGACTCATATCACTAACACATGCTTAAAGAATAAGAACATATTTAACCTGCCTGTTGTTTTATTACTTTCCAAGTATAAATTCATCTTGACATCATCTGAATAAAAAAAATGATCAAACAAATAGATAAAACCAACAAGCCAAAGTAAGCTAAAGGTTAACAAATCTGCTTTATCAAAGGCTTCTTAATGTCCCCTCTCTAAGAGGATATGGTATCTATTTTTTTCCATAAAGCAATAATTATTACATTGAAAAATGAAACACCCAGTCAGTTGTAATATGCTGCAAAAAGGAGTTTTGTATGCTTCAAGTTTTCTTTACATTTTAAAGAATGAATTTAAGAAAGGAGCCTTTAGTGTAGTTTCAGATGTAAGACCACAATCACTTCCAAGCCTTCTATAAATTTTAGTGACCTGAGAAATATTGTCACTTTTTCTTGCTGGTACTATACATATTTCAACAAAGCATTCAAGGCTTGGGTGTTTCACTGACCCAAAGAAACAGGAGATCAGGTCCACAGATTACATTTTCTATTCTTATTAATTTTTTTCTACTCTTTCAGAGTCTATCTGAGCCTTTGCTGCACAACCTCAGCAGGTTGAGGTTCTCTTCAGGGTTTCACTGAGGAAGAAAGTCATGGTATATTTTTTCATGCTAACTACTGTTTGAAAAGATGCTCTTTTCTTTCTAGAACTTAAAAGTGTACATCTTCTTATTTAGTATGAAAAAAATACCACCACCTCATGCCTGGTGCAGAAATTAATTTCTTATGTACAAACTTTTTCTTCTATAATGAAGAAAGGAAGAGTGTCTCTGGAATGAGGAATATTTTGATTCAAATTCATACTAAGATATGGATGACCAAAAGTGAATTTTACCAAGAGATGTTTTTGATAGGAGAGGGAAAGAAGATAAAGGACATTAGGTGGAAGGAGAAACAAAGTATCATAAAATTAAGAGAAAAAGAAAGGAATGAGTTGAGAAGCCAGAGTACTCAAAGTCAGTTTGATAATAGTTTTATATTACTTGTAGCTTGTCCTTTTCACACTTTTTACATTTAAAGCAGGCTATCAATTTTGCAACTGTAGCTATGACTGCTACTTTAATATTATCCTCTTGGATGGTTTTGGAGTAGTTGCTCAAATAGTGCTAGACTGGACTGATCCACATAGTTAATTTTCTTCTTTTACTTCACATTTTTTTGTAATCATGCTTAAGGGCTCCATGTGCTTCTCTTCTTTCTGATTTCATTTACTCCTGATAGTGCAATAGCACATACAGTACCTGGAAAATTCATATATCAGCTGACGTGGTGATTGACTGATTAAACATGAAGGTGGCGATCAAGATTCTTCTAGTTTTCAGGAACTCACCTCAACATTATAAAGGGTATATATGACAAATCCAAAGCCAATATCATACTGAAAGGAGAAAAACTGGAAGCATTTCCTCTAAAACAAGCAAAAAAAATAAGATGCCCACTTTTACCACTCCTACTCAATATAGTTCTTGAAACTCTAGTCAGAGCAATTAGGCAAGAGAAGGAAATTAAAGGGAAACAAATATGAAAAAAAGAAGTCAAATTATTTCTGCTGATGATATGATACTATATTTAGAAGAGCTAAAAAAAAATCTCTACCAGAAAACTTCTAGATCTGAAAAATGAATTGAGCAAACAGCAGGATATATAAGATCAATATTTATAAATAAATAGATTTTCTATACTCCCACAGTGATTCTGCCAAGAAAGAAATAAGGAAAACTGTCCATTCACAATACCCTTAAAAAACAGTCCTAAAATTCATTTGGAAGAATAAAAGACACAGAACAGCCAAAGCAATCTTAAGAAAGATGAGCAAAGCAGGAGGCATCACAATACCTGATCTCAAACTGTAGAGCTATAGTAACAAAAACAGGTTGGTATGACATAAAAACAAATATGAAGACCAATGGAATAGAATAAAGGACACAGAGACAACCCCACATACAAACAGTCATCTGTTATTTGACAACAGTGCCAAAAAATACATGTTGAATAAAAAATAGTCTGGGAATGTAGAAGGATTAAGGAATGGGTCCAGATGACTGTCAACAGATGAAGGTAATCTACACACACAATGGAGTTTTACTTGGCCATAAAGAAGACTGAAATTATGGCATTTGCAGATGAATGGATAGAACTAGGGAACATTGTAAAGTAAGTCAAACTCAGAAAATCAAAGTTCAAATGTTTTCTCTCCTATGTGAAAGCTCAAGCAAAAGAAGGGGAAAGGGGGTTCAGATATCAAAGATAAAAGATCAATGGAGTAGATCAAGAGAGGAGGAGGAAGGATGAGAAAGGGAAGAAATGTGGAATGTATTTAACAAAATCACACTATGTACATTGCAGATATATATCACAGTGAATTTCACTTTTGTGTTTATCTAGAAAATACCAATCAAAAATAAATAAATAATTTAGTGAAAGGAAAACCAGTAGAGGAAGGATAATGAGGGAGGTGGGGGAGAAGCAGGGAAATGGACTAGATCAAATCCCATGCATGTATGATTTTGTCAAAATGGACCCAACTATAAGTATAATGCACTAATAAAAGAAAAATAAGATGAAATAAATAAAAAGAGTCTTCCAATTTTGGGGGAGCTGCTTTGACAGAAAGAGAAAATTACAAAAATTAATTAATGCCTATGAGAAACACAGGAATAAAAACACATTTCCTAATTGTAACATAAAATGCAGTAGGATTGGTCCTGTTGGTGAGAGTCTTCATTCACAAGCAGTGCCATTTAAATGTGATGACTTACCTCAGCTACCTCCAATTCTCTCTCATAAGAGATTTTCCCCAATCAGTTGACTTTTTTTTTTCCTCCCCAGGGGATAGAAATCCTGGAACTCATGATTTCTCTAGCCTAGGCTAGAATTTCTTATCCACTTTCTTCAAGGCTTTTAGTATTTCCCTGATTTCTTCCTCTCTGTCTCCTTAACAGAGAACTGACTCTACTGAGCAACTCTCTTTGAATTTGTGCACATGGTAAAGTGCACAAAGCATCTGCTTAAGAGACTGATGATGAAATAGGAGGGAATTACCATTCTGCAATATATTTGTGGTGTTTGTTATTTCCAAGGCACTATGATAGATGCTCAAAATTAGAATATTTTTGTCTTTAGAAAGTTAGGATCTTAGGAGGCAGGATACAGTTAAAATATTCACAAATCACTTGGGTACATAAGCCATCCACAGTACACAACAACAACCAGATATTTAATGAGTGTCTACCATGTACCACTCACTGTTCTAAGAGCTGTTGGTGGTGAAGATGTGAATGGAATACTTGAACAAACTGGGAGATGATGCATAGACACATAAACCACAGGCTGATAGGAAACAAAATAAGTGAGGAAATTGAGAAGACATAGAAAGCTGGAGTTACAGGAAGCATTTACTAGGTGTTAAGAAATGACTTTTAAAAGACTGGGGTAAACAGGGATCATGGAGTGGCCTTCACTGGTGCTTTAGCAGTGGTCAGTCTTATTGATTAAGACAGTGGGAAGGCAGGAGGAGCCACTCTGGATTGGAAAGCAATAGGAACAAAGGTAATGTGTGGGTACTAGTGACTGGAGAGGTTGGAAAGAGAGGAAATGGCATAGGGTCAGGAAGGAGAATCAAAGATCTGGTAACTTATCCAAGGCTGTGCCGCTAAAAATAAAATGGCACAGCAATGTGACTTAATCCTGCAACAATCTATTATATATTTCAAAATAGCTAAAAGAGTTTGAAAGTTCCCCACACATTGAAACAGACTGGTTGGAGCTGTCACCTCTAGACACTCAGCTAAAAAATGGACACTACATCACACTGTAGCTCATAAATATGTATAGATATTATATATCAATTAAAAATAAAATAAATGGGGAAGGGATTTGAACCTGGGAAAGCTGACCCTGACTCCTGAAGGTAACAAATAGGGTTGAACACACATCCAAACTGTGGCAGCATTGAACTTGGGCACAGAAACTTGACTTTTATTTATTTTTTTTTTAGATATCTAGAAATGTTTTGAATATGATTTTCTCATCTCCCTTCTATGAATATTTGCATCACTTTAATATTGGAATGGGGAAGAGCTGTTTTCTGAAATGATGGTTCTATTAATGATCCCAAGTATTGGGAAGTAATTTCTTTAACTTGAAATTCCAGCACTCTAATCCATGATAAAGAACATTCCGTTTTGTACTGTTATTGGGTTTCTGCTGAAGACTTCTAGGTTCATAAAAAGGCTTCTTTTTAGCAGATACAAAACTTGTTTGAGATTCTTGTTATATAAAACACCTATTGCTAGAATTTATAACAATTCTAACATGAATATGTCAGAAGGGGAAAAAAAGGCAAAAGATAGAATCCTACCTCTGAAATAATATGAAAAAAAAAACAAGAAATTCTGTACACCTAAAAATATGTCAGCATTTTCACAGAAGCATTATGAAGTCTTGGCATGGGAGGTTCATCATTATAGATGATTTGGATTGATATAATGTAGGGCATGAGGACATTAGTTCATGGGCCTCCTTGAAAAGAAAACCCAAATGGAAACTAGTAGGAATGTCATTTAGGGTGACATATTGAAAAATAAACACAATTGATACCAGTAAACCCTGTTATAAAGAATTGGCCATTTTTCCTTTCTCTCTACTATAGTTTATTAACACAAGTTTTAATTAACTCTGTTGACAATATTATTTTTCTATTGCTGCAGTGACTAAGAATCTAGGGCAAATTCTAGAATTAATTGTGCTAAATCTCTTCAGGGAAAAAGTGAGAGTGATAATACTTATTAAACTTTCTAGTGGTTTACGTTAGCAGAATTTTTCTTTTTCTAAGACTGGATGTTTTTTTACTTTTTTTGCTCATTTGAAAGTAAGCAAACCTGAATTGTCTGAACTGGAAGAAAATGTTCACTTTTCATAGAGAGAACTTCTTAAAAAGAGAAGTGACTTTGAAAAAGATGCAAATGCTTGAGTTTTCACATGTCTAAGCATATTTAGCTGATCATCATTGGGTGATCTGGCATCTTTCTGTTCCTGAATTCCTGAGGCCTCTGCACTATAATGAAGACTTGGCAATTTAGAGTTTTCTGTATTTTTCATAAACTCCAGGAAAATAATCTAAACCATGCCCATATTTAATAAACAGTTTTTCACATTTTTTCCAGTTCCATATAAACTATTTAGATCACTGGGATTCTCTTACCAAAATATTGAATTTCTGACTCTAAAACAAATACGACATTTCTTGATGTGACTAATTTTTTTTTCTTTTATCTTTCTATCTTTTTGTGTAAGCAAAATAAAATTTCCAGTTTGGTGCAGAGATTTAAACTGAGCTTCAAATTTGATTTCTGGTACAGTTGTTGGTTTGCTTATTACACCTATCCTGATTTTATATTATTTAAAATTATTTTTTTCATGTAGTCTTGGCTGTCAATCTGTGTAAACCCTTTGTCACACTATGGTAATCAGATTGTTCTAGATTTCCTCCTTTTCTGTTTCAAAACATATGTCCCTTATTTTTATTCAAGTAAATACTTTCATTCAAGTAGGTGCTTAGTAAAATAATAATGAGAGCAAATTATTTCAAGAAAAATAAAAAGAAAAATTGAACAAGATTTTCAA